GAGATTGGAAGTTGAGAAGCCCCCAGTTTGTGGGGTGCGAGGCGGCAATAACAACGCGGGTCTACCTCTCCATCCGAAAATAACCATGCCCAGCTAAGCCGTCTCCCAGTCCACAGGGGTGTGAGGGAAAAGCAGGCACTGACCAACAGGTCGGTATCTTGCCGACCCCGCCCCAATTTCTGTTGTTTCCGCAGCGCTGGGAAGGGGAATCTTGACTTCTGAATCTGAGAATTTCCTGTTTTCCTCCTCTAGGCCACAAAGTCAACAGTTAACCTCAAGTCAAGGATAAATACATCCTTGTATTTACCTACAATCATTTACTAAGCGGCTAGAGCCTTTCAGCCCAGGGAAGGAGGGAAGCCCCGGCGGGCTCCGTTTGGGGTTTTCCTCATGAGAACTCAGCGGCCCAGGCGAGGCCTTTGGCCTTAGCACCGAGGGAAGGATCGCTGTCCTCTTCCTGGAACCCCCGCCTGTGCCCAGTTAGCGACTTGTGGGCTAGAGAGCCAGGTTGGGGTACCCATCCCGCCTCAAGCTCCTCCTGAAAACTCTTCCTGCCAGAAGTCCCTCTCAACCTCAGCGCGGCCTTCGGGCTTCTCCGATGAAGTTACTCCCTCGGAGATCGGAGGAGGGAACAGGATGGTCCCCCAGGGAGGTAGCTGGCCAGCCTATGGGTAGAGACAGTGGGGTCCGCGTGCCCGATTGTGAGGAGGACTAGGTTCCTGGGCTTAGACTCTACCCCCGAAATGAGGGCTTGGGTTGGGACCAGGCTGGGCTAGGGCATCCACGGGCCTGGCAGAAGAAGGCCAGAGCAGGGGATGGAGCCGGCCGGACCCTGGGTGGGGAGGAGGAGGCCTCCGCCCGGCCGGAAAGCTAGTCTGTGCGGAGCAGAGCCCAACTCTGGCCGCCATGACGTCACGCGGGCAGGGCAGCCAATGAGGACGGCGCTGGCGTGGATATTAAGGAAAGTTAGCGCCTGCCTGAGCACCCTCTTTTCTTATCATTGACATTTAAACTCTGGGGCAGGTCCTCGCGTAGAACGCGGCTGTCAGATCTGCCACTTCCCCTGCCGAGCGGCGGTGAGAAGTGTGGGAACCGGCGCCGCCAGGCTCACCTGCCTCCCCGCCCTCCACTCCCAGGTAACCGCCCGGGCTCCGGCCCCGGCCGGGCTCGGGGCCCGCAGCGTCTCTCTGCTGCCCGCGATGGGTGCCCCCAAATCAAAGCCCGCCCCAAGTGGCCCCAGGGCTTGATTTTTGCTTTTAAAAGGAGGCATACAAAGATGGAAGGGAGTTACTGAGGGCGGGATAGGAGGGGGGAGGGACTTGTATTTGCCGATTGTGCTTTTCTGCAAAAGTAGCAAAATGTTCCAGTCCCAAAAGTGGACTTCCAGTTGGGCCCTAAGCTGAGGGTGGGTGCGGGGGGGGGGGGTCTGCTGCTGCTGTCTACTAAAGCCGCTCGGGACCGAGAAAAATGCAGGAGGTGGGAATGCAGTTTGCAGCTCATGACATTCACGCGTGGAGAAGTCCCTACCCACGCTTGGAGCGCGTGGAGACGCCCCGCTGCGGGTCGCGCGAGGTGCATCAAGTTTCCCGCGGTTGCAAAGTGTAGATAGTTGGACCGCAACAAAGTGTTAGAGATGTGGTTCGTTTCTCCAAAAGGAGAGGACGAAAGAATGCGGCCCACAGAGCTGGACAGCGCGTAAAGGCCCCAGCGTGTGATTTGAGCTTCACTTCGGAAGACCTAATAATTAGCGATTCTCACTGAGCTAGAACGCAGGCTCGGGTTACCGCCGGCGCTGCGCTAGCTGCCTTGGCGGGAAGCACTAGGGCGCGAGGGGAGCCCGGCCGCCGAGTGCCGGAAAGAGCAGAGCCGCGCCACCCTCCCGCCGCTGGAGGGCCAGAGCCGGGTGCCGGAAGTTTCCCCCGAAGTGGATCGGGGAAGGGGCGACCCAAACTTAAACTAACTCGTGGTTCTGCGGGCGAAAGTCCTGAGAGCTCAGCCCTAAACGGCTGGAGACGCCCAGGCCGGCTTAGGCGGGGCGCTGGAGCACCCCGCCCGGGAGGTTGGGGCGGCTTTTAGGCCAGGCCCGGGTGCACCTTCTCACTCCCCACTAGCGCTCCTGGCGCCCCCGCTCGAGACCTTCGGAGGCACCTTCGGAGGACGTTTGGATCTCCCGCACCTGTGACAGGTGCTTGGACCGCCACCCAACTGCGAGCGGTGGCCGCCCCTTGCCCACCCCACCTGGAAACGGGGAACTACCGAAGCGGCCGTGCGGCCGCGCGCCTTACCTGGGCCAGGGTCTTCTCCTCTGCGGGTCCCTCTCCCCGGAGCCGGGCGGCGAGCAGGTTGCCCGCTTCGCAGTGGGAAGTGGACCTTCTCCTCCAGTCATAAATCAAACCCAGCCATCCTCGGGCCTCCTCCCTCATTAGAGATGTTTATTGGAGATTGTGTTTATTCGGCTGTCACGGCGAGAAAACGCGGTGACATAATTACCTCTGACCAGAGTCCTCGCCCCGCGCCCAGGGCGAGCCGCGGACCTCCTCTGTCGCCTTCTCACTCCCGTGCCCTCCTGGATCCGAGGGCGAATGAGTGGCTGGTCTTTTTTTTTTTCTCAGACCCACTCACATAATTTGGATTATTGGAGGAATTACTATTCAAATTTCCCCAGGGCACGGAAGTTTATTTAATTATTTTAGAATTTGAAAGGAAAACCCGAGGGAACCCAACGCCCCTCCGGGGCAGAAGGGGGCAGCGCGGAAGAGACGGAAAGAGATTCCCTCTCGCCGCACAAACTTTCCTCGGGCCGGGCAGTGGCGCTCAGGGGCCGGACGCCACTGTCGCCAGAGCCGGGCCTGAGCAGTGCGCACTGACCGGGAAGGGTGGCTACCAATATTGGGGGTGTTATTTGTCGCTTCATTTTCCATCTTTCCCTCTCCGGAGGAACCAGAGGCTTCAGGGCCCCAGGCTGAGGATTCTTAAATTCTCCCGGGCCGAGCACGGCGGAGCCAACCGCTGCTCCTTCCCCGCCCCTCTGTTCCCTGGCTGCCCCCCGGGCGGCGGTTTTCCCCACTAGCCAGGTCTGTAAGTCGCCATAGGTGAGACTGGGTTAGGAAGTGATGAAAAGCGCCGAATTGTTCTTTAATTGAAAATATATTTTTGTGGGTTTTTTTTTTTTTTTTGAGAGCGCGCTGACAAATATCTAGGATCCCAGCTTTTGATCCCTCGCTGCCGCCTCTGTTCTCCAGTCGCTAATAAAACTCGCATTGAGCCCCTTAGTGCCTTGATTAACAGGCAGATTAACTCTTACTGGGGTTGGGAACAGCTTGTCCTAATCAATGTCATTTTAAAAGCCCGTCAGGATGCGCTTAGCTCCGGTTCCCTGGCTGCTCCAGCGAGCCAGCCATGACATTTGCTCCCTCCCCCACCCCAGCCTCAAATCCCCCAGCAAAGCCTCCAGTTCCCACCCGCCTGTTCCCAGCCATACGACAGGGCAAACCGCAGGACTCGGTCCCCGGCCTTTAGAACAGGCAGCTATTTAGATCGGGGGTCTCCAGGGAGAAGGGACTGGGGTGGCCTTGGCTTGCTCTCTTTTCGTTTGAAGCTGAACTCTTGTCTCTTGGTAGCGGAGGTTACAGGGAAAGAGTGATGGGGGATCATCCTGGGGTGACGAAATGAAAAGCAAACTTTCCTAGCAATCCTATTTGCAAAAATCGGAAATTGCACTGATTTCAAGTGTCCAACAAATCAGGAGTTTTAAACTCTGTTCCTATCTAGACAGCAGCATGTGCTGGGCTGCTAGAAGTCTCTTCGCTGGGAGATCCTGGTGAACATTTTTTTAAAAGCATTTTTCAGGGGAAGGGAGGAGAGAGAGAGAAGGGAGAGGAGAGAGAGACTTGCTGCCCACTGTGAATGGAAGACTACTAAACCCATGGAGTGCCCTGACGCACTGGCAACTTGGCAGGAGACAAGGAAGGGTGAGGGCAGCGCGGCTTTCCCCCAGCCGAGCGTGGACACAGCCTGGAGGCGCCGCGGGGCCGGCTCCGGGCTCTTCTCTCTTTCCCTACGCTCTGGCTCCGGGAATCTGCCGGGTGAGCGGGAACCCGGCAGGTTGCTGGAGAAAGCAGGACAAAGGCCCGAGAGGGGAGGCACCCCGGACTGGGCGGCTGGGGTGGGCGCCTTCGCTTTTAGTGCTCCTTTGACCCGTCTGCCAGCTCCTCAAGCCAGGGAACCCACCTTCCCAGGGGCTGCAAAGAGAGAGACGTGTGGGGCTCTGCAAAGTGACGCAGGTGTCTGCAGAGGCTCCTTCTCCAAAGAAATGCCAGTCTTCACCCTTCCCAGCGCGCCAGCACTACGCCTCTGCCTGGCGGTGAAAGAGGGAGTTCGGAGGTGTCAGAACACCGGGTGGGATACTCCTTGGTTCCGAAGTTGGGAGCTGAGAGCCTGTCCCCGGAGAACTGGGCACTTCTTTGCTTCCCCAGAGGACGCCCCCAGACTGGAGACCTGATGGGGTGGGCACAAGCGAACGCCAGGGATCGGTGGGGGTGAGATGCTGCCTGATCTCACACTTACACGTCAGTACTCGGTAGAGGCTCTGGGCACTTTCCCGAGAGCCGCGATACCCAGCGTGACTTCCTGGGCACATTCAGCCTCCGGTTACCGGGTGGGACGACCCAGGCGGCCCCTACGGGAACTCACCAGCCCGCCCACGACAGGTCGTGCTCTGGCGCCAGGGGGCGGATAGGGTAAGGGGGCATGGGCAGAGGCGGGGAAAGGCAAGACAGTAACCCTAAGGTGCAGTCCCCCTCACCCCATGCAGGGGTGCAAGTGGACCTCAGGCGCGTTGGAAGCTGCAATTAAAATGGCGACCTGCGAGTATTCTCAGTTTGGCGCACACCTCTGGCAACGGCGCCCCGCACCTAGGTCCCCGCCGTCGCCCCCTCCCCCAGGCTGTGTCGCCCCCAGAGCTGCTACTTGGCAGAGGGAGTGAAGCGCCCCACCGGGCGGAAAAGCACCCCACCGTCCTTGAGACCCGCCCGGAGAAAGCGAGGAAATCTCACTCTTACCCCTCTTTCCTTAAACTTTGAAAACTCTGCTTCATTCGGGGGCTGAGCGCCCCTCCCTAAATATTTACACATGGGAATCAGCCAAGTCCTTTTTGTTTCTTGTTTGTGCAGAGGAGTGTCCAAGAGTCCTTCCCGGAGCCCCCATCCCCACCCAATGACGTCAGTGGCATTCACTCCTCACTCTTTGCCTTTTCTGATTTTTTGTTAAAACTTTTCTCCGAGGTGAGGTGGGGGTTGTGGGGTGGGAGAAGTAGCTGATTCAAAGAGCCAGTGCCCTGGGGGGAAATAGCAACAAGATTATGGCTGCTTCTTTCCGAGGCAAAGCTTAAGAAGGTGCTAATCCACTCGGTCGCTAATTGAGAGGTTGTAAAAATGATATTCGCCTCCAGTTCGGACAGAGTCACTGGGCCTTCCCCACCCCACCCCCTTCAAGCCCAGTGGACTTGAGTTCAAGCTTCTTTAATGCTCGCTTGAGAAGTAAAAAGAAGGAAAAAGAGAACGCAGACTCTGGCTGGTCTGGGACCCAGACCCGCTGCCCCACTTCCTGGGATCCTCCGAAAGTCGCGGTCCTACGAAATGAAATCTCGCACAGGAGGCGGTGGACCTGGGCACCCGACACCACCTCCGTCGCCTCTCGTTTGGGTTTCCTCCCGGCGCTGAGTGCTCCTGGGCGGCGGGAAGAGGCAGAGCCAGCAGCCCTCCCCAGGCCCGGGAGGTGAGCGAGTTGTGCGCCCCAAACTCTGGCTCGGGCCAGAGAGGCCTCCGCTGCTCCCTCACGAGCTCTGCCCTGGCTCTTTGGTCGCGGGGTTGCTGGGTCCCCGGTAGGGACGAAGAGTGAGGCCCACACCAGGCCAGATGACCCAAGGCAGCCCGCAGAGTCCTCACTGTCCCGGCGCCCAGGGGCTGCGGCGTCGCGGCCTGTCAGCAGCGAGTTCAGGCTGCGCAGCCTTCATTGATGAGCTCTGACTTTCAGCACTTTTCATAAGTCAAGAAGAGTCAAGTGTGTCCGGCGGCTTCATCTCAGACTCTTTGCCTCAGCTTTGCCAACACCATGCCCCCTTGCCGGGACCTGGGGTGTGTCCCGCGTCCCAGGCCTTCCCCTTCCCTGCCCCACGGCCCCGCAGCCTCCGAGAGAGCTCTGGACAGCGCAGGACGAGGCAACTGCTCCTCCCCTGTCACCTTAACTGCGGGCTCTGAGGGGCGCCTTTGGAGTGTACTGAGGTGTGTCTTAATCGTCCGGCATTCAACAAATGGACTTCTGGTGTGTGGTCAGAAGAGAAAAGCCATTTACTTACTTTCCTCCCCGGTTTTCTGGCAACAGCTGAAGGGGGGCTGCCTCCGTGGACTGAGCAGACCCGGGAGAGGGAGCCGTGGTGCGGAGACACACGCACCTCACAGACAACCGGTGGCACACACCGACGCACCAGCATGGCCGCGGGGACACACACACGGACACACACACAGCCCACAGAAGCTACGCAGCATCGGTCACCCCCCCTCCAGGCTTCCACCACTCCCCCTCCCGCTTATCTCCCCCTCTCTTCCCCTCCTCTGGAGCGCCTGGAAAAGCAGCCGCACTTAGTCAACAAATGGCACGTGGGAGAAGTTGGTGAGTGTTTGGTGAGGACTCTTCAGGGCTTTTCACAAGAACCCTCTGTACACAAAGTAAGTGGCGTGTTTACTCGGGCCTCTCCAGCTCGGTCATTGCCTCCGCTCCGCTGCGCACCGCGGCTTCCGAAAGGAGAAAGGAAAGAAGAAAGGGCCAAGGGGAGCGCGGTGGGGGAATGGACAGGCCCCGGAGGCCTGGCCTGGGAAGGCCGCTGGCCTCGTTGGGTTCTAGCCAGGCGACCTCCTCTCGGCTTAGGCTTCACTGAGGCCTCCGACGCCAGAGTGGAGCTGCCCGGGACCCAGTGACGCTCCTGCCCCTTTCCTCTTCTTCCCAGAGGCCAGGTGACCTAGAGTGCAGACTCGGTTATGCTCGGAGTCCTGGGCCCAGGCCGAGGTGGGGCAGGGGCGGGCGAGGGGGACAGGCGGGGGCGGGGCGGCAGGCCACGCTGCACTCGAGTTGGCAAGAAAGGACAGCGCAGAAACTTGTTCCCTCCGTGGGTTGGGAGTCCCGCACCCGGCTTGGGGGGGCGGGGTGAGGGCAATACCCCCAGCCCAGAAACCTTCATTCGACTGCTCAAGTTCGCGGCCGCACTGCGGGCCGCGCTGACTCCCGGAGCGCGCGGAGCCGGGAGATGTCGGCGAGCGCCAGAGCCCGGGCGCGGGGGCCCAGCGCCGGGGAGAGAAGCCGGGACCCACCGGCGGAGCCGAAAACAAGTGTATTCATATTCAAACAAACGGACCAATTGCACCAGGCGGGGAGAGGGAGCATCCAATCGGCTGGCGCGAGGCCCCGGCGCTGCTTTGCATAAAGCAATATTTTGTGTGAGAGCGAGCGGTGCATTTGCATGTTGCGGAGTGATTAGTGGGTTTGAAAAGCGAACAGTGGCTCGGCCTCATTTCCCGCTCTGGTTCAGGCGCAGGAGGAAGTGTTTTGCTGGAGGATGATGACAGAGGTCAGGCTTCGCTAATGGGCCAGTGAGGAGCGGTGGAGGCGAGGCCGGGCGCCGGCACACACACATTAACACACTTGAGCCATCACCAATCAGCATAGGTGTGCTGGCTGCAGCCACTTCCCTCACCCACACTCTTTATCTCTCACTCTCCAGCCGCTGACAGCCCATTTTATTGTCAATCTCTGTCTCCTTCCCAGGGATCTGAGAATTGCTCTCACACACCAACCCAGCGGCGTCCGTGGAGAAAACTCTCACCAGCAACTCCTTTAAAACACCGTCATTTCAAACCGTTGTGGTCTTTAAGCAACAACAGCAGCATAAAAAACCCCAACCAAACAAAACTCTTGACAGAAGCTTTGACAACGAGAGAGGATGCCTCATAAAGGTGAGTCCGCTTCTTTCATCTCGCTTTATTTTTATTGCAATATTCAGGCAGGTCTCCCCCTCCTCCCCCTTCCTTCCTTCCCTCTCGCCGGTCCCCTCCCCCACCGCTACGCCGGGAGAGTTGGGCCGGAGAAGTTTCCACGCAGGAGCCCAAACTTTCTACTTCCAGCGAAAGCCCGCGTCGGAGGGCGACGGCCAGCGAGCGGGAGCGGCGCGGTGCTGGGGCGGGCGGCCGGCTCAGCCCCAGCGCCCGCGCCCGCGCGGGCTGAGCTCGCAGCAAGAATCGAGGCTCCAGGCGCGGCTGCAGCCGCGGCTCCCGGGCCCATCATTGCCAAATGCTCCCGACCGGCGGGGGAGGATGAGGAGGCTCTGCGGTGCCCAAGGCCCCGGAACGGCCGCACAGACCAGCCGCCGCCAGCTGCTTTGTCCAGCCCGGGGCCCAGAGAGCGGGCGCGCCGAGGGAGCCTGCTCGCCGCGCCGCCGCCCGCCGCCGGCCCTCGCGCTTTGTGCGGCGCTGGGCTCCGGCGCGGGAGAGCCCGCTGGCACTCGAGCGCCGAGGGGACACCACGGCCGCCACCAGCGCGAGCAGAGTCAGTCGGCAAGGCAGCCACACGCTGGAGACAGAGAGAAAGAGCGAGCGAGGGAGCGCGAGCCGGGAAGGAAGCCACCAGGCCAAGGCGGTCGGACGCGCGCTCGGAGGGAACTCAGAGCAGAGCTGGAGGACTGTCAGCTTCCATCAAGCCCCCAGGCTCTTGCCCCCAACTTAACTTGAGCGCGGAGCTGGGCACTTGAAAACTCTTCGCTCTCCAGACTTCCCCAAACCCTCTTCTCCCTTGCCCTGCGAAGGCTGGGCGTCTTCCCTGTCCTCCGGCCCCCAGCGCTCGGTGGGTATCTTTCCCTGTCGTCTCTGACCAAGTCGCACCTGGTGTTGCCATTTGAACAAGTTTCTAGGTGGAAAGGCGGTTTGCTTTTTTTTTTTTTTACTCCCTGTCCTCTGATTTTTCTCTTCGTGAGGTCTTAAAAATAAATCGATATGAAAGCATTGGCTTTCCTCCTCGTCTGATCACATCCTCTCCCAGCTAATTAGTCTGAGTAATTTGAGAGCTTTTTGGTTCTAAGACCCAAGGAGGAAAAGTGTCTTTTCAAAGTTCATAAAGTTGCTGCCTCTTTCCTTGTGCCGATTTTCTCAGTCTCCCTGCACCATAATAGCCCTGAATTTTAGCAAGTGTAATTGGGGGAAATGGAGTTGAATTTCAAGTGGAAATGCTTTCTTTTTCGAGTGCTAAAACCCAGCCCTTCATTCATGGGTGATTTCTAGAAAGTTTAAAAACAAAGTGAACGTGGTTTCTTTCTTTCTTTCTTTTTATTTTCCTCTCATTCTCCCAAGCTTCCTAAGCCATTTTGGACGATTAACTCGAACTTGGGAAGGTATAAGATGGGGGTGGGAGCAGAAAATGAAATGAAAAGCAAAGAGCTTGATAGCCTGCTGAATTTACTGAGGAGAAATAATAGTTGTTGCGGTTGACATTACATTTTTTATGGCCGGTGACCTTTGCAAACGTCTGAAGGCAATTTGATTAGTTGTTATCTTATTTGGCCCTAGAGAGTAAAACTTTGTCATTTTAATTGCTAATTACTCTTTCGCTGGGGACTGGGTGGATCGAAAGTGAGCTCTCCCCTTCACCCCAGCTAAGAAGTTTCGGGATGGATTTTGAGAATCAAGTAATTAAAATAACAACAGCATTTGAAAGTTGAGGCTCGGGTTGGGGACAGGGAATGGGGCAGTGGCCCTGTGGTCTGGTGGACCAAGGCCAGAGGGACTCCAAAGTGCCTGGAGACTGTTCTGGATGTGGGTCTATGGCCCTGGCAAGGCCATACAAAGCTTGGGGCTGAGCTGGGGGGCTCAGGCTTCGGTGCAGGGGTCTGGCCTCTCTGTGCCCACAGGACTGCTTCCGGGTGTCCATACGACTGGCTTCCCGGGTTGCTTTTGCACTAAGTGTTAAGGATTACTTAAGTAATTAGATAGATTCTTAGCTGAGAGGGGGATGGGAGTGGAGCAGAACTGGAATTTGAAATGCTACCACCTTCCCAGCTGCTTTGAAAATTAATCAGCTAGGCCTTCTCTGGAATCAGCTAGTGAATTTTTAAAAATGGCATCAAGAAGGTACCTCCCAGCCCGAATGGGGGGCATTCAGTTGTGATTTTATACAGTGTGGATACAGAGAGGAGTTCAGGAAGTTGTACCCCTCCTAGGGGAATTCCATTCCTCCTTTCCCCACCTACTCCTACTTTGCTGCTTTAGAGTCCTACATTTGGTGGAGGGGCATTTTGTGTCACAATTGAGGTATCTGCCTGTCTGGGGCATGACTATGTATGGGGACTGAGAGACAGGAGGGAGGTGTTGGAGAGCCATCCCAGCTTGAGGTAAGTAGGTAGCCCTCTGCTGTGGCCAAAATTTACCAGGCCACATTCGGATGCTGAGGAAAAGTCCTCATCGTAGATTTATTTTTATGAATTTAAGCTACTTTACCAGCTACTTTACCAGACCACGAATGGCCTGGAAGAGTAAAATGTTTCTTGGAATTCTTTGCTTGCAGGCAGGCAAAATTAATAATCACCGTAGGCAAAACAGGAAAAATAATGCATTAAAAAAACAACAGGGAGAAATGATGCTGTGACTATTTCATTATTTTACCTCCTTTTTTGGGGCAAACCTCTTGAATGGGCTCTTTATTGTAACTCTCTCTTCCCAATTGAGCTCCCCACGGTGCCGTTGTATCTTTTTACAGCCCCTAACAACTCACACCAGTAACACAATTACCTCCAGATATTTATAACAAGAAATTACTTTTCTATTTTCTCCACTCTCCCAAGAACCTGCTTTTTAGGGGAATGTAGGGGAGGGAGTGGTGGAGGGTGAGCCTTGGGGGACCTGTACTGGGTCAGGACTTATGGAGCTAGAAGTGTCCCTCTGTTCTCTTTGTGAGTTGGTGGGTTGTTGGTACGTTTGGTTGGAAACTGTGTTGCTGGTTAGGGAGACTTCGTTTTGCTCCTTGGGTTCGAGGAAAGCCAGAGAATAGAAGCCATTGTTTGCTGTCTGTAGGCTTTGTCAACCACGCTCACCCCCTCCTGTTCGTACTTTTTAAAGCAGTGAGGCGAGGTAGACAGCGTGTGTCACAGTACAGTAAAAGAGGGGAAGATCTAAAAGCCAAAAGACGAGTTAATCACAATAAGTGAGGTTTGTGAGGTTTAGGGGAAAAAGTTGGGCTTGTCACTTTCAAAGTCTCAGAAGAGCTAAGAAATAGATGAAGAAAGGGGCCACAGGAAAGTTTTTCTTTTCTTTTTTCTTTTTGGAGGAAGGCATGAAGGATAAAGGGGTAACTAGAGAGTTGGGTTCTGGGGATCTTGGGACAACTGAGGTGGTGAAATTCCTTAAGGAAAGAGGAAATATGGCCCCTGAAGCCCTCCCAAACTATTCTAGCCCATGCCCTCAGGAGCCATGAAGTTTGGAGGTCCCCTTCCCTCACCTCCAAACTTTAGATATTAGTCTCCACCCTCCTCTCCAGCTCTTGGCCTCTACTCTTTTCTCTACTCTCCCTCCTGTTTTCCCCTTCTCCTTTCCATGGTTCTTGATATTTTTGCAAAGTGGGACCCCAACTCATTAGATTCTCCAATTCTCCCAGCCAGACCAAGGCAGCCTCTCTCAAAGGGTGGGGACTTCTGTGGGAGAGGCTGCTGGAAATGTGGCTGTAATGCTAGGATTTAGAGTTTATGGCAGTTTGACTAAGCCCCAGTTGCACGTTTTTTTTTCCTGAGGGTGGGGCTCAGAGAGCCTATGGATCTATGCTTTTGAGCCACAGTTTGACATATACTTCTCTCCTTCTGTTTTGTCTTAGGGGGAAGACTTTAACTAGGGGAGCGCAGATGTGTGAGGCCTTTTATTGTAAGAGTGGACAGACATCCCAGATTTCAGGCAAGTTCTGCAGTGGCTGCTTTGGGCTCAAAACCAGAAAAAATCAAAGCAAACTATTTCAGTATGCTTCTTCATTATAGTTCAGATGGAAAAAGAAATTCAAAATTGGGTCACGGTTTCTCCTGATTAAAGGGTTAACTACTAAAGGATTTAGAGGAAACGGATTGGGAATATTGGAGTATTTTGTTTGAAACCCAACGGGTAGATTTTTGCATGCACTGGCAGAGCTGGATGACCCTCAGATCGCCCCAAGCGGCTGATCAATTCCTGAAGAAGAGAGATTCTCCTGTCCTGGCCCGAGTCTTCTCGCTTGGGAGTTCTGGCCTACCTGATGCAGCAGCCCGGGATTAACCCCTATTTTCTTGCAAACAGAGACCCATATTCGAGCCCCGTGGGATCCCGCGGCCCCCAGCCAGCGCCAGCATGCAGAACAGTAAGTGCCTCTGGTCTTTCTTGGACTTCGGGCTGTGGGCGCGCGGACCCGGGTGAGTGGAGGGCGCAGAGGCTCACGGTGTCGGCGCTGGCCAGGCCGCCCGCTGGAGGGAAGAGGCCAGGGAACCTGCCGGCTGCGCCCCGCTCCGCACCCGGCAGCCCTGGAGGGGAGGGCGTTTGTTCTGCTGTTCTGGATCCTGGAAGGGAAGGGGCTGGGCCCTAAAGAACAGCCCTCTCGAGTTTTCGAGGCTGCTATAGAGAAACCCCATCCCCCCCACCCAAATCCTGTAACTCACACCCCCTCCCCGCCCCTGCCCGAGCTCTGACCCCGGAGAGAGGGGCTGGGCTGAGCAGGGCGGGGCGAAGGTTTCTTCTAGTTGCGCGAGGAAAAGGAGGCCCCTTTGGGCTTAGCCAAGACTGAATGTCTCCACCGACCCTGCGGTATGGGGGGCTTCCCTCCCCAAGTCACTCTCAGGGCAGCTCCTCCCCTTCCCACCCCAGCTACGGGCCTAGAAGGGAAGGGAGCGGAGCACCCAGGCCTGCAGAGGGCTGGGGTGGCAGACTTGCACCTTGGGGCTGTTAGGGGGGTCGGGAGGGTTTACTGGGTCTGGGAAGCAGGTGGGGGCTGAGTCCAGGAACTGGAAAAGCCCTGTCCTGCCAGCTGCAACTGTGTGGGTCCTGGTCGTCCCAGGCCCAGATGCTTTTGATTCCATGGCTCTTGTGCCTCCTTTCTTTTCTCTGCCCAGACCCCTTGGGCCTCCACCCACCTTCCTGCTTGGTCGGTGGGTGCTGGTATGTGGCAGGGCTAGTGTACAGCTCGGGCCTGGAAGCCCGAGGCCCAGTGAAACCAGGCCCACGTTGAGGTACAGGGCTTCAGGGCTCAACAGTACTCCATATGTGGAAAGGCCCAAATCTTCTAGCGGCCTGCCTGCCCTTGCCGAACCATGAAGACTTAAGAGGGTCCCCAGCGCCTTAGCCCTCAGTTCTGGAAACGCTGGTCGCCCCCTGGCGCCTCCGGGCCTGGTAGGCGCGAAGCTCAGGAAGGGGTGCAAAGGTGGCGAGCTGTGTGGCGGTAGTCGTGCAGAAGCTGCCAGACCCAGGGCTCGGCCAGGAGGCGCCCCTCCGGCGGCTGAGCTCTCCCCCTGGAGTTCAGACTCCGCAGCCCAAGGCTCTCTCGGGTGGGCCCCGGCCAGGCCCGGCAGCACGGAGCGTTTGCCGCTGCGGCCTGGCTGGCGGGCCCCGAGGGGCGCGGGGTCGCAGACCGGCCCGCAGGGCTTTGTGCCGCTCGTTCCCGAGTGTGCGCGAGGCGCGGAGCATCCAAATTGACACCATATGTTTTCCTATTAGATGCTTCGCGGTCGAATTCTAGGCGCATAATCATCACCACTGGGCGAGAGCGCCAGCCGTCCCTAGGGAAGGGACACAATGATTGAGGCTTAACCTCTGAAGGGGAATTTAGAGCCGCGTTTCCTCGCTGCCATTTCGACGCTGGCAGAGGCGCGCCCTGGCCCTGGCGTCTCCTGGGCGAGCACCCGCCAGCCGCGGCTGTGGAGGTGGCGGGCACGGTGTTATTTTTGCAGTGGGGGCAGAAGGAGGGAGGTCTAGGTCTAGGTTTAGGCGGCCTCACACGCCTTGGCATTCGTAGACTGGGAATTGCCCTGACTATGCGTGAAGTTTGGAAAGTGTCTCTTCGTCTCTCTGGGACATCCTTTTTTTCACGGGAAGGCTTCCTTTGCCCAGAGGTGGGGCTCCGTAGCTGCAGCGCTAGCTGGAAATTGCCAGGCAAAGGAAGGCAATAAAGGGAATTTAGGAGAAACCGGAAGCGCGGACTAGGCCTTACTCTGTTGGTGTCCCCCCGCACTGTCCCCGCTCGCGCTGGGCCCGGCCGCGGCCCAGATCCCCCAAACGCCTGTCACTTCTCATCCAGTTAAGGCTCTGCCCCACCCTCGGTGAGCGGCCCCCCCTCAGCCCCAAGCCTTTGGCTATCCTGAAAACGCGGCTCCCCTCGAAGGGGAAACGAGTGCAGTTCAATCTCGTCTGAGTGATCTACAAATAGGGACGGAAAGGGTCGTTTTATCACGGTCCCGTTTGTCGTGACGATGCAATTTCCCGGAGCGGAGCACTGTCACAAAGTGACAAGGCTGCCACAAGCGCCCCGACTGATCTTTTCAATTAGCCTTCCATGCATGATCCGGAGCGACTTCCGCCTATTTCCAGAAATTAAGCTCAAACTTGACGTGCAGCTAGTTTTATTTTAAAGACAAATGTCAGAGAGGCTCATCATATTTTCCCCCCTCTTCTATATTTGGAGCTTATTTATTGCTAAGAAGCTCAGGCTCCTGGAGTCAATTTATCAGGAGGCTCCAAGGAGAAGAGAGGAGAGGAGAGGAGAGAAGAGCCGAGCAGGGAGCCACGTCTTCTCCAGGGAGGGCTGCTCTCTAGAGTCGGGGCTGCAGGTTGGAGATTTTTAAGGAAGTGGAAATTGGCGATTGGCTTTATTTGTGTGCCTGTGGTTTTGGGGGAGGGGGGCTACAGAGGGGCGCTAACTCCCTCTCCCTATTTTCTAAGATTGGACAATGGGACGAGGTTGTGAGATACAAGGATAAAGGAGGGATGGGGGACGCTGTAATGTGGTTTTTTCTTTTTCTTTTCTGTTTTTGATTTTTGCTAATATCTGTCCTTGGCTAAGGGGAGGGCGGAGTTCAGCGGCGGAAGTAAAGCGAGCAGGGGCCGGAGAGAGCAGACCCCCGTCTCGGCCTTACCCGCGGCAGCCAGACTGCTTCGAGGCTGAAGCCGAGCCGGGGCGACTCTCACTTCCGCAGTGGAGGTGCGGAAACCAGGATTGGGGTTCACCGGCCACGGATTTGCTGCTTCGGTTCTCCTCTACTCCTCTCCCTTCCTTTCTGTTAAAACTAAACTAGACTAAACCAACCCCGGTGTTTGTGCCAGGCCTTCGCCAGAGTTTGGCTTGTGACGCAAACGTTTCTGGATTTTGGCGTCCAAGGGAGCACCGGGGGGCTGTAGGGTTTGCTTATCTCTCTTGCAACACTGCAGAGACCTTGGAGATTCAGTGTGGGTTCTGAGGAACTCACGGTTTTCGGTGACACTCAAAGGAGATCTTTGGGAGGAGATTCTTAGAGCCGGCCATTGGCACTTTGTGGGTTCTGGAGTGTTTCTGAAGAGGGCAGTGGGCTGGGGGCACTGATGGGGTGATGGCAGTAGTGAGGTACATGATTCTCCTTCGCTGGCATGTGTCTGACTCTATGTGGCTTCTGCAGTACAGTGGGCAGGAGCACGACTGTGTTTGGGGCTGGGCTGCCTGATGCCTCGTATGGCTGGTGGTCCCTCCGGTTGTCATTGTTTTTGATCGATAGCAGGGACCTGATCGCCAAGGTTGGCATGGGTTGGCAGAGGGCTGAGGATGCATTGTGGTTGTCTTCTCTTCCTCCTCCTCCTCCTCTTTCTACTCTTTTTCTTCTCCTCTTCTTATTCCTCTTCTCCTTCCCCTTCCTCTTCTTCTTCCTCCTCTTCTCCCTCCTCACTCTGTTCTGCTCTCCTCTCCTTTCCTCCTCCCCCTTTCCTCAGGTCACAGCGGAGTGAATCAGCTCGGTGGTGTCTTTGTCAACGGGCGGCCACTGCCGGACTCCACCCGGCAGAAGATTGTAGAGCTAGCTCACAGCGGGGCCCGGCCGTGCGACATTTCCCGAATTCTGCAGGTGATCCTCCCGGCGCCGCCCCACTCGCCGCTCCCGCGGCCCTCCACTCTCAACGCCCTCTCTTCATTTCTTACTGTAAATGCTGCTACTTATGGACCCCCACCCTCACCCACCCCAGTCCTCAGTCCCCAGTCCCCACCCCACTCCCCTGCCTTCCGGCTTTCCCCTCTCCTTCCACCATCCTTCCCTATTTCTTTCAACCTGGGTCAGTTACATGAGATAACTCATCTGCTTAAGCAAAAAAAAGAAAAAAAAATTGTGATTTTTTTTTTTAAAAAAACGTTTTTTTCATTTGGTAAAGACATTCATTGCGGTAACAGTTTATGAACTGTAATGAGCTGAATTATATAAACTGGCAGAGTTTCATTCCGCTCTTCCCCATCCCATGCTTACCTCAAATTTTCAGATATTTGTTTGCATTCTTCATGTTTATGAAGCATATATATTGACTTTAAAGGGCAACTGCTATTTACCCCTCCCTAACTCAGATTTATTCAATTGGGCATTTTTTTTTAAGGAAAAAGAAGTTAAACTACAGTTTATTTTTCCCCTTTGCTCTTTAAAACATAACACCACCTTAAGCAAGGTCAGCACAAAAAAATTAATCTGACTTCGTTTTGATGCATCTTCAGGCAGTGTTTTAAAAAACAGTTTTTTAAAAAAACTTTTAAATTAGTTTTTTAGTTCAAACTGTTTGAAAGTATCATATTTGTAGTTTTTAGGGCTACAAATGTAATTTTAAGAAAAAAAGCTTTCTACAGTAAGTTCTCATACCATTGAAGGTATATTTTTGTGTTATAGACCCATGCAGATGCAAAAGTCCAAGTGCTGGACAATCAAAACGTAAGCTTGTCATTGTTTAATGCATACTTAAACAATTTTATTTTTGTCTTGAAATTATTAATAATGTGGTTTTCTGTCCACTTCCCCTATGCAGGTGTCCAACGGATGTGTGAGTAAGATTCTGGGCAGGTATTACGAGACTGGCTCCATCAGACCCAGGGCAATCGGTGGTAGTAAACCGAGAGTAGCGACTCCAGAAGTTGTAAGCAAAATAGCCCAGTATAAGCGGGAGTGCCCGTCCATCTTTGCTTGGGAAATCCGAGACAGATTATTGTCCGAGGGGGTCTGTACCAACGATAACATACCAAGTGTAAGTTCACTGAGAACATTTGCCCCCCCTCTCTCTTTACCTTCTTCTTCTTTACCTCCTCCCACTCTCCTCTATCCCGGTGTAGCTCTGTCTCTGTCCTCTGCCTACTCCACATTTGTCTCTTCTGTACCTGGGGGTTTCGAAAGGAATGCCCTGACCTTTTTGACTGTCTGGAAAATGAGAGTCAAGTGTGGGAAGTCGTTCACTTCATTTTTGCATGTTGCAAAACAGAGGGCAGAGGCACCTGGGGAAAGGTACATGGATCTAGAAGGAAAATGAAAATGAAAACCACATTCTAACTTCCTCCATCCAAATCCACCTGCCTGAACCTTTCTTCAGGTGTCACACACCCATTTCTGCCCTAATATAAAACAAATAAAATGAAAGAAAGCTCTAAACCACTTCTAAATATTTTTTTTGGGGGGGGGAGTGTTTTAACAAAGCAAAGCAATCATCATGAGTTAGGTCACCAGAGATACTGAGCAACAGTGAAGCACTCCCCTTCTCCCAGTTCTCTACCCAACTCAATTTCCATGCCCAGAGTGGTGGCTGTCATTTTTTTTTTCCACAGTGTATCTGCAAATCCACCCACTGTCTCAGGCTTTTTAATGTGTTGAGGGGTTTTAAGGCAGTGGATGAGCTGAGATGGGTAACTGTGTCTTCCGGAGACGCTACCATTTAGTTTGATTTTGGTTTGATTTGCAGGTGTCATCAATAAACAGAGTTCTTCGCAACCTGGCTAGCGAAAAGCAACAGATGGGCGCAGACGGCATGTATGATAAACTAAGGATGTTGAACGGGCAGACCGGAAGCTGGGGCACCCGCCCCGGTTGGTATCCGGGGACTTCGGTGCCAGGGCAACCTACACAAGGTAAAATCCAAGCAGCCATCCTCCGAACTCTCCATACATATGCAGCCCCTTGCCTACCCTGCCCTGCCCCAGCCTTTTCCTTCTTTGGGTTTCCATGCTTGGGGAATGTGGTAGGGGAGACTGCACTCAAGGGCCGGGGACACATCACCTTACATTGTATGCAAGTGTTGTTGTTGAACCATATATTGGCTCCGGGAATGTGAGGGTTGTGCATGACAAGAGTAGTATGAACATGGCTGGTGTGTGTGTGTGTTTGTGGGCAGGAGTATGTGCATGTGTAAGAGCAAGCCCCGTGGTGCACTATTCAAGTTTGACATTAAAATGCAGGGAGGGCCCCCTTGCTGTAGAAGTGTGACAAGTTAACACACTGACAGACTGGGAGGTAAACATAATTGTATCATTTTGCTTTTTGCCATAATTGACAAATTATGTGACTGTGAGTAGGGTGCATGGGAGAAGGAGAAGGTGAGCAGGGAGATGCTGGGCCGAGTGGAGAATTGGGCATTGGAAGTGGTGGTCTCCCAACTAAAACAACCCCACCATCCTTGCCCCTCCCCCTCCTCCCTCCACCCCTCCCGGACCCCAGTCTACACTCTCTGTGGGTGGCGACTGCGTAGAAGTGGTGGGGTGAGGATACTGTGAGCCGGACGGCGGGGTGCAGGGAGCGGCTCTGGGGCTGGGAGGCGAGATCTGCCCTGCGATGCCCCAGGTTCCGTGCGAAGGGTTGGAGGAAGAGGAGCGGGTGGGGAAGGGGGTCAGCTGGCTCCCCCCTGCACACGCACACCGACCTAGCTTGGTCAAGAATAGGAAACAGTTTACTCTGAAGATTAATCGGTATTTGTTGTCCTCGTGACAAGGAGATAATATGCGGGATAATGGGACGTGGCGTCTCACTCCCAGGAGCACAACGGAGCCTGGGGGCTCCGGGCCGGGGGCGGCCGCGGGGACGGCGAGGAGGCTGCCGGCGCGTCCGTGCGCTCTCGGGCGGCTCCGGATGCCCGGCGCCTCCGTGGAGTCGGGCTAGGGAAGGGAAAATCGGTAACAGTATGCGAAATATCTGGTACAAAGGATGCTTCTGTCACTCGCAAGAATTTGTTATGGGAACAATCCTGTCGCTCTGTAATTGCTCATTAGAGAACGTTTTGTTTCTCATTAAGGCGACATGAATAAGCGTCTAGTTGAAGGAGACAGCTGTAGAAATGTTCCACAAGAGACCTCTGGACACGATTCGGCACCAATTGCCAATTAGACATGTCAGTTTTAAGAGCAGAAAACAATATAGGACGGACACTGGGAAGATAGGGAGCAAAGCGCTCGCTTCTTGTTTCCCAGCGCGGCCACTCGGCGGCCAAGGCCTCCTGACGCGCGGGCCGGCTCCCCTGGGCGACCCCGCCCGCCAGGCCTCAACCCCGCTGCCTCCGGGAGCGGGAGCGCGGCGGGTGCCCAGGCCCAGGCCGACTCCAACCTGTGGTGGGACCAGCGATTGACCCAGCTGAGCGTAGACAACCCCAGCCCTGCCTGACCTTTGAAACTGTAGGATTCCCACATGCGCACACTGGACACACCCAAATGACTTCCGAACTTGGCACTCGCGCTCCTGATAGCGTCCACCCTCCGCCCCCAGCAATCTCAAGTCCTGGTGACTCCTCCCCCGCCAAGAGTTTCCCCGACTTGGTCCAGGAAGTCTTGGGGGAGAAAGGCAGGACATAGTGGCCCAGGCTGGAGGGTGGGGACACTGAGCCCAGAGCCTCCAACCCCCGGGCCTCCCGGGTAGAGGCTCACATTTGCTTGGGGCACAGGGGGTGGCTATGCCCTCCCGCTTTTTGGCGCCGAGACAGAAGAGGAGGGAGGGCGGCAGCTTCCACCAGAGGTGGCGCCCGATTAGGGCAAATTTTCGTCCCTGGCAGCTTGAGGACAGGAAGCGAGAGTCTAACCTGCTAAGCTCTTGGTGGTGATGGTTGAGGCCGGAGGTGGCGCTAGTTCAGGAGTTTTTAACTTTAACGTGCCCTGTTGCTAGAAAATTCTGGGTCAAGGGCCAATTCCCCCCCCTCCAAAACCCCTGTTCCCGTGCATCCTCCCCCAGGCGCAGGACCCGGCGCCCCAGCTGCGTGGGGAGGACGCGTGTGGCGCGGGCGCTGGAGGCGAGCTTCCGCTCGCGATCCTGGGGAATCCTCAGGCCTTTCGGCGCTAAGAGGGCCACCCTCCCTCCCTGGCCCCCTTTCCCGGCCCGGGAAGCCGTTCTTGGGTTTTAAAGAGTCCATTACTCCAAAAGCATAAGGCGAGGTTAGGTCTCAGAGGGAGACAAATATGGTTTCCATCTGATCAACGCCATGCGGCAGTGAATAAAATCGTGACGACGTGGGCTGACAACAACAAGAGACAACTCTATCCAGCCCCAATTCTCCAGCGATTTGGTGGTTTTAGGGATCACGGAGACACTTTTTCTTATCTCCTCCCCTCACCCCACCCCCCACCCCCCGTAATACCCGGGGCCTCTATAGGATTTAGTCAGTCTCTCTTTCAACAGATGCTACAATGTTTTGATCCGCGCTCCAGAGCTGAAAAGGTGCCGCAACCGGGTTGCTATCTTTTCTTGCTTGTTTTCCGCCTCACTGATTAAGACACTAAGAAACTAAGGAATGATTTTATTTCCCAGCCTCTTTTCTCTCTCTCTCTCTCTCTCTCTCTCTTCTCCTTCTTCCAGGAAACAAATCCTATCCCCAGCGTCAGATGGTCCTGGGGCTGGGATAATGGGAGGCGCTTTCACTCGCCTTCCCACGGATTAGGCTGGAAGGTGGACGGCACCCATTGAAGGCCCCTTCTTTGCGCGGCTCTGAGGGGGCGCCTTTTAAAGAAGATAGCTTAATTGTCTACCACTTAGGTTTATCATGTGGGGAATTTGAGATCCAACTTCTAGTTTTATTTTGTTAAAAGCTTTAAGAGTAAGGCCACTAAATGGGGGGGGGGAGGCGAGGTACCCAATCTGAGAGTGACCACTTGGTCACCAGTCACCGTCTGGTTGGAAATAGTTGCTACTTTTAAAGTAGCAAGCAAGTTTTCAACGGTGCACACTTGCTTTGCAGGGTTGTGGAGGGATCCTGCAGCCACGGGTTTCTTCTTGCTGCTAATTTCACTTTTTTTTTTTCTTAAAGATTTAAAATTTAGCTCACGTTTCCCTATTGACTTTTCTCCCCTTAAATGCCAGCCCTGCGTGACTATAGCATTCACATGTGTGTAAGACTGTGTGTTTGTGTGTGAGGAGAGAGAGAGAGGGAAAGAGAGAGAGAGAAAGAAATATGATTATGAATCTCCATGTTTTTAAAATTTGGAAAATGTCAAAGAGGCAAAGGAGAGCAGAGAATGCTATCTGTAGGGGTCTTCTGAGGGAGATTCAGGCAGCTTTGTCTCATTGGCAAGATCAGATGATCCAGAAAAGGGACTGGGGGGGGCTCCTGGAAGGCAGGGGTATGAGTGACCATGGGGAGATAGGGACTGTGTCCTCCTCAGCAGCCCCACCCGAAATTCCTGGTGTGTGCAGATATTTGTATTTTCAAAAAGCCATAAGTGATCTGCCTTTCTAGTTGGCACCAAAAGGGTTATTTCTAGTCTTCCTGGTTCATGAAACCCCCAAATAAAGAGGGGAGCAAAACACTTTGAAAAGTCACCCAGAAACTTGGGCAGTAAATTAGCAGACACTTGTGCCTACACACGTGAGTCGTGAACAAGAGTGTCTCCCTCGCTAAGTAGCCCTCCCTGACTCCCCCCTTCTGATGTAGGGCAGGATGACCCAAAAGAGAGCCACAGCTTGCTTATTTACTAATGCTCTTTTTCCCCCTTGTCCTCCTCTTCCTCTCTCTCCCGCTCTTGTTCGACCCTCTTGTCTCCTCATTCTTTTCTGTCCTTTCTTCTTATACCTTTCTGGCGTCTGTCTCTTTTGAGTCTCCTTTCTTCCTCCTCCCTCCCCTCATCATTCCCCCCAGTTTCCCTCCCCCACCCCCAACCCAGGTCCCCATCCTGCCTCCTCCCATCCCCCACAAACACACCCAGCCTGCTCCCCATCCACCCTCCCTGCCTCCCCCTACCCCCTGCCCTGGCCCCCCCATCCACCCTCCAGCCCCCCAGCCAAGCGCCCTAAATAGCACCGAGGCGCCCGCTCTTCGGACAGTGATTAATGATAGCGGAGCAGAGGGGTTAACACACTTCACTGAAAAGTCTGTTGACTGGGCTTCTTGTAACACAATGTGGCCCGCTGCACGCCTCAAGAGAATCCTTTTGTTGTCCGCACTCATTGTAGCCTCAAAATTCTGCCCACGAAAGTTTGCCAACGCTCCTGCCCCAGGAGTTTAATAGTTTCCCTTACTCGCAGGGCATTGTGCGGCGCTGAAAAGCAGCCCCTCGCTATTCAAGTGTTGGTGGTCATCTCAATAGATCTCCAAGGGCCCATATGGTGGCCAGTGCCGATGAATCCGCCTGTTTAAATGGGGGAGAAAGTTGGGGTTTTAAAACATTTCAAAGTTCCTGAAAAGATCCCACTAGATCCTGTCACAATTCCCTGAACTCTTTGAAGGCGCTGCCTATTGTCTCCTGGTTATAAATGATATTCCTGGCCAAGTCGATTCCCACCAAGGCACTCCTAGTGGCTCCTCCCCTGCCAACTGGCCAAGCTTCCAGGATAGGGAGTGGGGCAGCCCTGTTGATGTCCCTTGGGGGCCTCAGGACCCAAGACTCAGGACCCAGCCCGCAGTGGCCCTGGAGGCCCAGCCAGGGCCTGAGTCCTTCCCTTCAGACAGGCTTTGGCCTCACAGGCAAGGTGCAAGGCGAGAGACAGCTAGCCCAAGTGCACATCTCACCCTCCAAGCGGCAAGGGAAAACAATAAAACTTTCCCCTGTTTAATGATAGAAATTACATTAAAAGTGGTGGAAATGCCCTAATTAAAAATGTACTACTTAAATGATATGCCAAGGATTCAGCTGCAGCATAGCATATTTAGCTAGTTAGTGAACTCTCTACTATTTCTTTTTTAAAATTACACGTTAAAAATTTAAAAGAAATCTTACTTTTCTCTGGTGCAACACATTACAAAGAATGGACAGTCCTTTTATCTAAATATAAAATTCCATTTTCAGCAATTATAGCCTGTTCTTGGTGATGATATAATTACAGCTGTGCTCGTAATAGGTGTCAAGGCGAAGCGCACTCATACAATAGTTGAATAAAACTGCAGAACAATGCGAGCACTTCTAAATTCACAACCTTTAAAATGAAATTGACTGTGCAGAATTCAAATAAAAACTAGATAAATATTTTTTTTAAAAGATTACAAGCTTGGTTTGGTTTCTTAATAGCATTTTCTACAAACCTATCAACATCTAATTGATTAGATAGGAATTACTGATTATAGATCAACTGAAATCTTGAACATCACTCTTCTATTTTCCCAACACAACCATAGGTAAATACATTCTGTAGGGAGATTGGAACTGAGTGAGGCATTTGGGGCATTGGGGTTACTAATGAAAGATCACTTGAATTGGAAACTTCAGTGCTTATTTTGTCATTCAAAGAAATACCACTCTGTGTGGATTGTAAAGACTCATCTTGATAAAAACAGAGACAAATAAAATGTTGACCAGGTAACTAATGTCTCGTATGTCTTTTATTGAAAGAAGGCCGATACTTAGTTACCTTGGGAATGTTTTAGTAAGACTGTCAGAATAAACTGCTCTTGGAGCTTAAGACTATATACCATGTCCCTTTTGGAGGCTCCAAGTCATTCCAAATTTCTCTTACCCGTCCTATTCTTTTTGTTCCAGATGGCTGCCAGCAACAGGAAGGAGGGGGAGAGAATACCAACTCTATCAGCTCCAACGGAGAAGATTCAGATGAGGCTCAAATGCGGCTTCAGCTGAAGCGGAAGCTGCAAAGAAATAGAACATCCTTTACCCAAGAGCAAATTGAGGCCCTGGAGAAAGGTGATAGAGTTTTTCAAAGTAGAGAAGCAGTAAATCAAAGTAAATGCCACATCTTCAGTACAAAGAGCTAAATTTAGCCAGGGCCCTTTGCATAGAGGACTGAAAAGGTTTCTCTTTTCTGTCTTTTTATTTTCTCTGGGCATCTTTTCAGAGTGTGTGTGTGTATGTGTGTGTGTCTTCTTTCTTCTTTTCATGTACCAGTAATTCAAAGACCAGAAGTCTAACTTACAAAGAAAAAATGATGATTTGGCTATTTAAGGCCACTGAAGGGTCGTTGAATATCATTCTAAAGAAAATTTAACTTGGTTCTGGTGGGAAAGTTCTTCCAAGTACAGCCAACACTAATAGCCAAAGGATTTTAAGGGGAATTGGCTGGAGGTGATGGGAAGGCGGGAAGCAGCTCGATCCAGGTCAACATATTTTGTGTAGTTCTGGCGCAACATAGAAAATCCACTTACTCTTTCAGAGTTTGAGAGAACCCATTATCCAGATGTGTTTGCCCGAGAAAGACTAGCAGCCAAAATAGATCTACCTGAAGCAAGAATACAGGTACCCAGGGACTCTGTGGTTTCACACTTTGTAGTTCATACCATTTGCCTTTCCTAGAGATGAGTGTACTTCTAAGGGGCACCATTTATTTATATAAATAGTAACAGGTTCAATCTACTAAATAATCTGCTGCCATGGAGGTGGGGAGGGTGGCGATGGAGGTGCGGGGTAGGCTTGGGCTTGGGGTCGGCACAGGGTTAACCTGTTCTGTCTGCTCCCTAGGTATGGTTTTCTAATCGAAGGGCCAAATGGAGAAGAGAAGAAAAACTGAGGAATCAGAGAAGACAGGCCAGCAACACACCTAGTCATATTCCTATCAGCAGTAGTTTCAGCACCAGTGTCTACCAACCAATCCCACAACCCACCACACCTGGTAATTTGAAATCCCAACGCTGCTAATAAGTGTGTTTAAACCTGTTTGCTCCGGGCTCTGACTCTCACCACGACTACCTGTCATTTCTCTCTCTGCAGTTTCCTCCTTCACATCTGGCTCCATGTTGGGCCGAACAGACACAGCCCTCACAAACACGTACAGCGCTCTGCCGCCCATGCCCAGCTTCACCATGGCGAATAACCTGCCTATGCAAGTAAGTGAGGCCGGCGGCTGCCTGCCGCACCGTGCCCCGAGGAGAAGTGAGGAATAGGATGGGGTTGCAGACCTCGTTGGCTGTGTCTGCACCCTAGGGAGCCTTTCGCACTGCAGTGATCGGCCTGACCAGTCAAGTCTGAGACAGTCAATCCAATCTCTTGTAATTGATTGACTCTCCTTGATTCATGCCCTTAAAAAAACAAAACAAAACTGATCCCTTTCAGTCAAGTTAATCTGCCTTTTATCATAATGTTAGCTTGACAGTGTTGGGTGGTACTGGGGCGTGCTTTGGGTAGCAGTGAAACTTGTACCAGAAAGTGGAAATAATGCTGGCACACTGTGGGATAGTAAGAGACTAGTATTTCTAAATTTGGATTTATAGTAATATGTTCATATTAATAAAATATATAATGTATACATTTGGGGCATTGTTTAGGGTATATGTGATTAAACTAGTGAAGAAGAAAAAAGGGATAAAAAATGAAATTTTTACATAGTGAGATATCCTTTCTATAATGGGAAAGCTGGTTTTCTCTGTACGTCTTACAATAAGAAAAGGTATAGAAGGTATTTGCTGGAAATTTAGTGTGTCTCTGCTGTGAATTGTGTGATGAGTTTGTGGCCTTCCTACCTGCCTGGGAAGCCTGATGTTATTCACTTGATATAATAACCTGCCCCTCCTTTTAATTCTGTACCAAATACATTGCGGGGCTCTGTACTAGGTTCACCTTTTATGATGGCAGTTGTATAAGGCAGGTGGGGTGTACTAGACCTTGTTACTGGATGAATTCTTGATGGGAAAAAAAAAATCCATCTTCTGATGGGCCTTCTGCCTTGGTTTTCCTGGGACTCCTGTTTGTGCAACATTTAGAGATGTCGGATGGTGTGAGATCGGCCAGCATGTATCTCTGCTGGAAGCAGTTCTGGGGTTACACAGATTGTTTATTCTCCACTGAACATCTTTTGCTGGATTTTGAATCCAAATAACAGCAAAATGAATGTTTCATAGTCTTCAGACTAACATAGGAGCGGCTAGATAAGCAAGTTCAGAGGAATTATTTACATGTTTATTTTTATTGCATCAGGATATTACTGGAGATAGTGCAATTGATGTAAATTAAGGGATTAACAGCCCATTAGTTGGTGTTGCTATAACGGCCTTGGAATTTTCCAGAAGTCAGTTTGCCTAGAGGAAGTGATTGTAGGAATTAGAAACAAATGCAAGCTGAAATTCTGACAAGGCCCTCAAGGCTTGTTTGCCTCTTTGAACTTGATGTTGGCAGTCATCATCTGACTTTAATAAGGCCATAGAGAGTCTTGTTCAGTTTTATATATTGTGGCAATATCTCAGTTTCTGTGCGGATAACAAAATGTGTTGTTACCATATATTAGCATTGTTTCTATAGACAGAGTGGTGTAAGGGTAAACACTGACTTTTTAAAATTACACAATTTATATAATTCAAAAGTATATGCATTCATAAAGCATAAAGACAGTGAAAATGTCTGTTCAAAGTGCTCTCTGAATTTTGGTGTGGGTGGGCCAGTCTCTGTCCATCTAATTCATTCTGTTGACCAAAATCTTCACAACCTTTTTATAAAGGGTGACTGTCTTCCTCTGAACCTTCTCTGATTCGTCACCCTCTCTGAGAATGTGGATCTTGAAATGTTCAACATTTCTCCCATTTGCAGAGCAGAGTAGTACACTGTACTGTTGTCTCCCTGTTCCCAACATTATGCGTCTATGAATTCATCCCAAGTTCACTGCCCTGGCATTGCTCCGTGAGAGCTCATGAGAGGTTTTGTCCCAGCTCTGCGTATTTCTTATTTAGTTAGGAGAAAGGTTTATCTCCTCAACACTACCAGTCTGAACATGTAGAGTGTAGCAACACAATTTTATGGTTAAAACCCAATCTGGGTTTTTGGGTCTGTTAGGAAGTCAGTTAATTCTCAGGATGGCCTTGGTTTATATTTACTGACACTTCTGACCATTTTAACCTGAGACCATTATGGACCTGCGTCTTCAAAGAATCTTTAATCCCAGGAGTCCTGCTGTGAAAGGTTCCCAAGGTCCCTAAACCACACTTTACTGCTTGAGATATGGGATTTGGGGGTCACAGGGTTCCCAAATAGATCTAGATTTGCAGGGAGAGGGGATGTGTTTTAATGGGGGTCCTCATGCTACAGGTTCTCTAAAGATGCCAGTAGAGGTTAGAGATGAAAATGGACAAAGATCCTATTCATTGATGGATGGTGCCAACTGTCATCTGAATTCACAGTGCTTTAGAAGTTTGACGTACAGACGACTTTACTCTAGCTGTGGCCAGTGGAAGGACTAGTTGGAGGCCAGATCATAGATTTATCATAGGGAGTTCCAATACTTTACACGAAGGAATCCTTAATGATCAGACTTGTTGGCAGAGTTCCTGGGGAGGAGGGAGCCTTGGGGATAGGGCTATGTGATGTTTCTCAGTAACCACAGGTTTGCCTTTCTCCTCGCAGCCCCCAGTCCCCAGCCAGACCTCCTCGTACTCCTGCATGCTGCCCACCAGCCCTTCGGTGAACGGGCGGAGTTATGATACCTACACGCCCCCACATATGCAGACACACATGAACAGTCAGCCAATGGGCACCTCGGGCACCACTTCAACAGGTGAGCCGCTGCTCCGCAGGCCGCACAGGGTGGCCTTTGCAACTTCCTTTGCCAGGTGATCTCCCTTCGCTCAAAGTTTACCCAGAAAGAACCTCTTGGCCTGGTGTGAGGGTGTGTTTAACTCTTTGCTGCCTTTATCTCTCAGAAAAACTGATTGTAAAGGGAAATTCAGTTAAGCTAGTTAGTAATTTGACACCACACAGACAAAAAACAAAGCTGTGTTTCCTGAATTTGGTCATTAAAGTTGTGCATGAAGACAGGGCCTGGGACTGTCTTCTGAGGGCAGATTTTTAGCCAAACTTCAATAGTCAGGGCTCACTGAGCTGTGTGGTGGGTGCTTGTTCAATGACTTCTCACCCTCCTAGCTCCTATAAGCCTTTCTCTGCAACCGAAGAAGTACCACAGTGGTTTTCCAGAGATAGTTTTATTCTGAGGTTGCAAACAAGAGTTTTTTTTTTTTCTTTTATCTTTGGTGGGGGGACCTGGAATTAATAGATATGCATAAACTGGTCTAGTTTCTGAAGCTACTTTTTGTGGTAACAGTTGAAATAGTTTTTAATATAGTAGAAAATGTTAGAAAGTATTACAGGCTTTTCAAAGCCTATACATTCATACTCCATGCCTATCTCTTGAAGGGAATATCTACATGGCTATTTCTTTCATCCACTTCTAGGACTCATTTCCCCTGGTGTGTCAGTTCCAGTTCAAGTTCCCGGAAGTGAACCTGATATGTCTCAATATTGGCCAAGATTACAGTAAAAAAAAAAAAAAAAAAAGGAAATATTGTGTTAATTCAGTCAGTGACTATGTGGACACAACAGTTGAGTTGGGCGTTCAGGAAAGAAAGAAAATGGCTGTTAGAAGCACTTCAGTTCTACAACTGTGTCCTGTATTTTACCACTGGGGAATGGACTTGAAACAAGGACCTTTGTATACAGAAGGCACGATATCAGTTGGAACAAATCTTCATTTTGGTATCCAAACTTTTATTCATTTTGGTGTATTATTTGTAAATGGGCATTTGTATGTTATAATGAAAAAAAGAACAACGTAGACTGGATGGATGTTTGATCTGTGTTGGTCATGAAGTTGTTTTTTTTTAAAAAAGGAAACCATGATCAACAAGCTTTGCCACGAATTTAAGAGTTTTATCAAGATATATCGAATACTTCTACCCATCTGTTCATTTTATGGACTGATGTTCCAAGTTTGTATCATTCCTTTGCATATAATTAAACCTGGAACAACATGCACTAGATTTATGTAAGAAATATCTGTTGGTTTTCCAAAGGTTGTTAACAGATGAAGTTTATGTGCAAAAAAGGGTAAGCTATAAATTCAAGGAAGAAAAAAGTTGATAGCTAAAAGGTAGAGTGTGTCTTCGATATAATCCAATTTGTTTTATGTCAAAATGTAAGTATTTGTCTTCCCTAGAAATCCTCAGAATGATTTCTATAATAAAGTTAATTTCATTTATATTTGACAAGAATACTCTATAGATGTTTTATACACATTTTCATGCAATCATACGTTTCTTTTTTGGCCAGCAAAAGTTAATTGTTCTTAGATATAGTTGTATTACTGTTCACAGTCCAATCATTTTGTGCATCTAGAATTCATTCCTAATCAATTAAAAGTGCTTGCAAGAGTTTTAAACTTAAGTGTTTTGAAGTTGTTCACAACTACATATCAAAATTAACCATTGTTGATTGTAAAAACCATGCCAAAGCCTTTGTATTTCCTTTATTATACTATTTTCTTTTTAACCTTATAGTGTGGTGTTACAAATTTTGTTTCCATGTTAGATTAACATTCTAAACAAATGGTTACTTTCATAATACTCTGTTTTACATCCTGATGATCTTTAAAGAAATAATTCTTGCAGATATCATAAATCAAAAATGTGTTAGGAAAAAAATCCACTTAAAGCTCTGTGTAGATCTATGCCCATTTATACGCACAACATATATACACAATGGTAACATTTCCCAGCTAGCCATTTAATTCAAAAGCTCAAAGTCCAGAAATAATTTAAAAATGCAACAAGCTATTAACTAAGAATTGTTTTTTGAATTAGGGCTGGCATTTTCAATCTGGGCAGATTTCCATTGTCAGCCTATTTCAACAATGATTTCACTGAAGTATATTCAAAAGTAGATTTCTTAAACGAGACTCTCTGAAAGCTGTTGCCTTTCTCAAATAGGCCCTCTCCCTTTTCTGTCTCCCTCCCCTTTGCACAAGAGGCATCATTTCCCATTGAACCACTACAGCTGTTCCCATTTGAATCTTGCTTTCTGTGCGGTTGTGGATGGTTGGAGGGTGGAAGGGGGGATGTTGCATGTCAAGGAATAATGAGCACAGACACATCAACAGACAACAACAAAGCGGACTGTGACTGGCCGGTGGGAGTTAAAGGCCTTCAGTCATTGGCAGCTTAAGCCAAACATTCCCAAATCTATGAAGCAGGGCCCATTGTTGGTCAGTTGTTATTTGCAATGAAGCACAGATCTGATCATGTTTAAAGTGGCGGCACGCAGGGCAGGAGTGCTTGAGCCCAAGCAAAGGATGGGAAAAAAATAAGCCTTTGTTGGGTAAAAAAAGCCTGTCTGAGACTTTTATTTGTCTGTTCTGTGCAACATATAAGTCAACATAGATAAGTTTTCTTCTGCAAACTAAAAGTAAAAAGCCTGGGGGTTCTGGCAGTCTGGATTAAAATGCTTGCACATGCAGAAACCTCTGGGGACAAAGACACACTTCCACTGAATGGGACCCTGCTTGTTTATTTTTTTAATCTCCAAAGGCAAATGATCAGAAATATAGAAATTACTTGGAGCATTTAAACATAACCTTTTAGTTCATTCGACATCTACTGTTTTTTTAGTTAAGGAATTACTTGTGAACAGGTAATTGAGATTTATCGCTGTGGCATTCAATATACCAATACTTTTATTCCACCAGAGTTGCTGCACGTTCAGAGACATCTTCCTAAGTTGATTGCAGTTTTTGTACATGTGCATGTAGTTTTTGCCACTGTCAGTCTGCACTGCACAGTGGCACACTTCTGCAGGGGAGTGTGCACACACACACACTGTTGGTACAATTGCCTGTGCAGACATTTCTACCTCCTGACATTTGCAGCGTACATTCCCTGAGGGACGTGTACTGAGGAAACTGTCAGAGAAGGGCGATGTGGGAGTGTGTGCTGCAGCTGCTGGCTGGCTTGCTTCTTCCCTGCAAGAAGGGACAGTTTCCAAATGGCTATGCTTTGGGCCTGGGTCAGGCAGCCAATCCTGCACCACAGCTCTGTTGTGTAGAGAGCAGAGACTTTGGAGACCTGGGTGTGGCACGCTAGGTGCTAGAGCTGGGAACGGGAGAAGGGGAGCGACGTGAGAGCTGAGGGCCTGTATGTGTGCACTTGGGCACGTATACGTGTCCTCTGAGGGTCAGGAGTGCCAGGGCTGAGTGGCATAGTCTGGTTTAGTCTGGAGAAGCGGCTGCTCAGCTGCAGAAGCCCTCTGGTCCAGCAGGACAGGAACGGCTGCCCTGCCTTCTGCCCACACCCTAGGGACATGAGCTGTCCTTCTGAACAGAGCTCCAGGCACTCTCTTGGGGACTGGGTGGCAGGCACTGTGTGGTAGCAGTGCCTGGGAGTTGGCCTTTTACTTATTGTTGAAATAATTTATTTTTATTTATGTACTGAGAGGTGTATTTATATATTTATCAATGGGAAATCTGCAGGGACATTTCGATGCCATCTTCCAGGATGGAGACTATCTGTTTATGCGATCCTCAGTAGAATCATAGGACTAACAGCCTAAAATTATTCTCCAAATTTGACTGACTTAGGGAAACCAGGTGAACAGAATTAGAGCTGAATGTTTAAGTAATAAACATTCAAATTACTCCAAGTAAAAAATGCTTTTTACTGCAACGAATTTCCCAGAATATTTTCTCCCCAAAGCTGTGCCTCTGAATTCTTAAATGGTAAGCAACTGGCTTCTTGATGTGGCTTGCATAACCATTTTCTCCTAATTTTTATCATAACTAGGTTTCCTAAGATTCATTTACACAGTATTATTTTAAGATTCAGCTTTGTTTTATGAATGTTTGTCATTTTAGGATTCTGTCTATATTCTTCTGCTCATCCCCTCCCCCGGCTTTTATTATTAACGAGATTTTAAAAAAAAGGAAAGGCTTTTCTTCTCAATATGTTTGGCTCCCCAAGGCCAAACATATATTCTTCTCTTTTCTGTTTCTCAAGAGTAAACCTCATCTATTTTTTGGCCTTGGTCCTGAATGATTTAACTGCTCAGTTTTAAAGTTCAAGGTGTAAGTACTTAGGATTAGTATTTAATTTTGATACTGTTGATGGTGACTATCTTTGGAAAGCAGTAACATGATGTCTTAGAAATGACATTAATAATGAGCTTAAACAAATGCATAGGGGTCCCCCCCCATTGTCCTTTTGTATGCGTATGTGTCTAGTGTTAGTATTTAAAGATCTTGGAGGTAGAGATAAAGAATAAATGGAAGAAAGAAAAAGTGGACACTGTCTGATGACTACTAAAAAGAAATTCAGAAGGTCTTAGAACCCTAACACCTGAGCAGACTGCAGTAATCAAAATATTTACCTCATGTTAAGGAAAGACAAATCTAGTGTAAGAAATGAATACCCTATAGGGTTTTGAAATTCATGTACTAGAAACATTTGAAAGATATGAGGACATTCCAGATACTATGTTTGGCATTGTTTTTAAGTATTTATATCTGAGTCAAGTTGATAATTGAAAAAAATCTGTTACTAGAGTGTATATTTCATAATGTATCACAATGGTGTCTATACCTACAGTACCATTACTGAAGACCAATATTTTTATGTAGTAAGTTATTAGCATAATGGATAACAAATAGTGCTTCCAGAAGGAAGGAAAACACATTTTTAGAGTGGGTTTTTATCAGAGGAAAACAAAAATATACATTTCTCTCCTGAATCAGAAAAACAAAGCACTTGGATCTGATTTTTGGAAAGCCCAGGTACTCTTATTATTCAAAATGCACTTTTACTGAGTTTGAAAAGTTTCTTTTATATTTAAAATAAGGATTCAAATATGCACATTCAATTTTTATAGTATTTATCTATTTGCAAAGCATATATTAACTAGTAATTGGCTGTTAATTTTATAGCCATGGTAGCCAGGGAAGTAAATCAATGACCTATTAAGTATTTTGACAAGCAATTTACATATCTGATGACCTCACATCTCCTTTTCAGAGTCAAATGCTATGTAATTGTTCTGTTGTGTGTTTGTATAAAATGAATCACAACACGGTAAGAAAAAGGTTAGAGTTATTAAAATAATAACCTGACTAAAATATTCATTTGAATTTATTCAGATTGTTCATAATGCTTTCAAAGGACATATCAAAGCTTTTGTGGAGTATCTATCTGCACAACATTATTTATTATCTATGGACTACATTGATTTTTTTTGAAGTTGCTTTAAATTTTAAAAGCACCTTTGCTTAATAAAAAAGCCCTTTAATTTTAACTGACAGATCAATTCTGAAACTTTATTTTGAAAAGAAAATGGGGAAGAATTTATGTCTTTAGAATTAAAAGAAAAGAAAAAAATAAACCAGACATTCTAAAAAAATAGAACAAGAAACCTGATTTTTAGTACTAATGAAATAGCAGGTGACAAAATAGTTGTCTTTTTGATTTTGATCACAAAAAATAAACTGGTAGTGACAGGATATGATGGAGAGATTTGACATCCTGGCAAATCACTGTCATTGATTCAATTATTCTAATTCTGAATAAAAGCTGTATACAGTATGTGTTTATGCTACAGTGGGTTTTTTTTTTTTAAGTGACTGACATTCATCATATTGGGTAGACGGTTTTTAAAACCTAGTCTTTGTTTTCTACAATGTTGTCAAGAACAAATAAAGTATAATTTGTGGTATATTAAAAGCAAACTGCTTAAAAATGCTAGTTATAGCTACTTCAAAATATTCTAACATATTTGAAAATGTGTTTTGGAAATTCAATTTCTCCCAATGGATTTTTAAATATCTTTTTAAAAATCAAGACTCTTTACTTAAATATGCAAGTTACTTTTTAACTTTCACTTTTTATCTATTATTTGTTAAAAGCTTTGAGAATATGGAACTATGATTTAAAAATCTGGTGTGTCATATGAAAACTGGTTCAGTATGCTATACACCCCAAAACACATGTTTATATGGCTAGACATTTCCATACCCAACCAATGTTCATAATTAACAAAAGGTTTACGTGATACAATGGAAATCTGAGTTAGTTTCATTTTTCTACTTTGTCTCAGACCTATGTTCTGTAAATATCTCTCACCACGCTTCAGTATATGTTTTTCCCCTGGTATCCTAGCATTAATGTAGCTGTCAGTTTGAATTTCAATCCTGAATTACGTCTGTTGACATAATTTCATCGTGCTGACTTCAATTGTTTAGGATTACTAAACTGAAAACCATCAACTTCTTTTTTCTATTCTTTCTATAACTCAAGTTCATTATATTTATTAACTATTATGGCAGATTAATTATCTTTAATAGAATCTAAATCCCAAAATATTTTGTCTTCATCAATTTAATAACAGTATACATAAATGCAAATTTATTTTATGTATTAGCAAACACATTTTCATTTAAAAAAAACTTTAGCATTTTTGGTGGCAAGTGACTTTTTCTGAAATAAAGAGAAAATATACTTTCATATACAGCTTTGAATTTCACAATGTTTTATATGCTACCTGCTCTAACATGTACCCGTGATACTAAGTGCCTTAGTACACGTAATGATCACTGTAATGCATCTGGAGATTTTGACCCTTTTTTTGCATTTATTTAAAAATAAAATTATTTTCTTCAAATATGCCATCATACAAAATTTTAAAATAAAAGTATTTCTGCTGTACTATTTCTGTATAAAAAGTGGGTTAAAAAATGAAGAATGGTGGCCCCATTTTTCAATCCTGTGTTTTTCAAGGATTGGAGGGTCAAATTGTTAAGAAAAATATTTACATAAGCTATTAGCAATCATAATTAGAGTGTCATATAATTCTGCATGCAACGACTAAGGAGGAATCCCTAGAAATCCAGGTGCTTCTTGCCTCCGGCCATCATGCCACAGCCTGGGCCCAGCAGCTTGGCGGATTCTGCCAGATCCTGTTTGCTTGAGCGGCTCACCGTGTCTGACAAGTCTGGAGGCAAATGCAGTCGCTATGGCAGAAGATTTCAGGGGAAGGAAAAAAAGAAGAAGAAAAAATTAATTTTGCCTTTGCTAGCATACTTCAGAATACAATATTATGCTCTGTTGATCAGCATTTAGTCTTGCATATAAAATTCCTGCTAAAACAATTCTTCAGATTGAAGCTGAATATAAGCACCTCCTATTCCTACTGGATTTTACAAATTATAGCCATTGCAGAAACTGTACTAGGAATCTCGGTGGAATATTTTCAATGTTCAAACCAAAGCATATTAAGACTTTTTGTTCTTTAGGTAGAAATGAAAACATGTAAATGCACAAATGAAAGCATAATTAGAAAATGTCACATAAACAATGTCAGGGTTTTTTTTGGAGGGGGCTTTGTTTTGTTTCTTGCCAGGGTTCTAAAATGCAATTTAAAAAAATCAAATGTAGCTTTTCAGCAATTATGGATTCCTGCAAATGCTTGTTTCCCTCTGTCTATAAGTTGACCTGATGATTCTATTTTAAGGCTTAGCTTTCTCTAGGAGCCTAGAATTTTCACAGAAATATGGACATAATAAAAAAACATGGTACCAATCAAAGGGTCAATATTTTTCATATGTTCAGGTAAGTCAGCTATAACATCTGTTAAAGGTCTTGGTAAGTTTGTTTCTGTGCAGTAATGTTGGGTCATGTTTTCAAAAGTATAAACTGGTTTTGAGCTCTACCCCCCATCCCAACTGTTCTCTTGCAGATACAGGCTGATTTAAGCAGACCCAGTAACTGACCGTAATTATAACAGTTATTGTAACAAGGGAGAAATATTCATATTTCAAAATAATTTTTCTGTTTTCAAAAGGATCTCTATCAAATTCCTTTAATTATCAGTGCTTATAGATCACATGATTTATTTCATGAAAATCCTAACTTATAGGGACATATCTGGTGTGTGAGGACAAAGTGGGTATGGAAAGCTAAAGGTGAGGCAGGGTGGGGCTCTCCACTGATGACTAAACAGAGCTTTCCAGAGACAAACTCACCTGGAGACAACCTAGCTGAAACCCTTTATTTGAAAAACTTCCTTCAATATGGAAAAAAAAAAAAAACACAAAAAAAGATAAAAAAGAATAGAATTGTTTTTTTCAATACTGTAGTCCATACAAATATGTTCCAGCTCGTTTCTTTTCTGATCAAAGGCTTGTTTATTGTCATGTAAATATAAGCTGTGTGCAAATGATCAAAATATTTTAAAACATTTAAAATAATGTGAAAATATTCTTTGATTGCAGTTTGCCTGTACTTATTTATTACAAATACACCTAGGATGAAAGATACTATCATACAGATGCACAATCAACAGAGATGTTAGAAATGTCAAGAAGGTCAAGAATTTGTAATATTCGTATAGCAATATTCATACAGATCTATTCATTGGCAGCCTTAGCACCCACCTATCATTAAGTAATTAAATGTCTACTTTTGAATGACAAAAAAATCATCAACACATATTTTTTTCTTTGTTTTAAACAATTCTTTCATTTCTTTATGCTCTAGTTTGTTCTAGAAAGAACTGTAGGCAGAAAGGAAAGCATAATAATGAAAGGCTCAGTAATCTAACAGGCAGGCATGACTGAAGTCTGCAGTTACAAATGTCTTTGCAGGGTTATCACTATTAGTGTCCACGTGAGGAAGCAGGAAGGAAAGAGCGCTTGAGCTATACGTCTGAGCTATATGTTTTAATGTTTAAGATCTTGTGGTTATTGTTAATGAGTGCAAGAAAAATGACTGGGATACATGCACGTTCTGAAGGTTATCTGAAACTTGAAGGAAATCACCATAAAGAAATTGTGTATGTGTGTTTGTGTGTGTGCATGTATTTATGTGTGTACACTTTTGGTTGGTACCTCACAGATGATGTCACAGATGGTGATTAGGCTGTTTAGGAAATCAACCGGAGTCAACAAATATTTAGAATCTACTCAAAGCAAGGCATTCTAGAAGGATACGTGAACAGAACACCTTCCACACTCCTCATTTCCCAACAATCCAGTAACATGAATAAGCTAAGCACACAGGTAATCCTCATAGCGAACACTCTAAGTCATGTACACAAGAAAGGCAGAGACGAATCAGAAATCATGGTGGGGGAAGGGGAGCAGGAAAAAGGCTCATGGGGGTGGGATCTGAGCTAGGTCTTAAGTAATGAATTGGATTCTGACATGCAGAATGGGGATTTGCTTAAACGGTAGAACAAATATATCTTCAAGATTACAGGATACATTTGGTTGAAGGGTTATAATCTACATGAGGAAACTGTGTGGTTTATTCACAACTAGTATAATACAATTTATTTCGGGAGGTTACCTATTTGCTTGTTGACTGGCTAAGCATTTCTCTTCCTCTGCTTTCCTAGGCAGTGAATGCGAGCCAGTTGGCTGAATGCCCTTCTTAGCAAAAGTAGCTAAATGTGACATGTGACATGCTTGGAAATCTTTCAGGTCGAATGGCTTTGAAGTAAAGTCAAATATCATTTGTGTGCAACTTCTGAGCATAAAAAAATTTGGGTGATATGATTAACTGCTTTTTATCAAATGCTACATTATAAAGCCAGTGGTATACTCCTTTGTATGTCCTTTGAAAATGCCCAAGGATGGCTCTTGGAAATAGGTGCCTCTACGTGTGATTTTGCCTGCTTTTGTTGATTATTACCTGAGCTTACTATGCAGTCTAAATTCTCAAGCAGTGGGTTTTGTTTTCTTTCTTTCTGAGCCTCCCCCTGTGCACCATGTCAGTGCGATGTGAAGCAGCGAGGAAGAACGAGAGATCAGGTTCCAGGCTTGCCAGGTGTGTCAGGGATTTTTCCTTTGAGGCTTCCAAAGCATTTACACATTTGACATATAAATGTTCAGATGCCGCTGTACCCCAGATCTGTCTTCTGAAAAAACATGCTGCAAGATACTCTGTACAGCGTGGTGACCTCCTTTAGACTAAAACTGCAAGCTGTGGGGTAAACTTTTAAACATTGAGGTTTCATTGAGTAATGTTTTAAATAAAAATCAGACTATAAAAAATTACTTTATTCTCAACCTTATAAATCAAATTAAGGTATTCATCTTTCTCATCTTATACCTGGGGATCTGGGGCAAGGCCCAGAACCAAAACCGTATCTTACATCTTGAGCTGTGTTTTTTTTTTTTCACTTGATTTTCTTTTCTCAGATTCTGGGAGAAAGAGACAGTGTTGCTGGTGCAGAAGATGGATATCTGACTGGCTGCCTGCCTATTTTTTCCATTAATGCCTTGTTGAAAATGATGATTTCTATGTAGGCAAAGGGAGCTGGGAAAGGTGTGGCAACTCCCAAGTTTCCTGCACAGGCCTGGGAATCCCACTGGATCAATGGTTCCCTTTTCCCCAATGCTGCAAGGAGGGAAACAGTGAGGCTAGCAAAATACTCTGGCAGATTAGGGGGCCTCCTGCCAAAAAGAACCCTTAGGCCCATAGGAAGCCCAGGATCACAACAAAGAAGCAGCAGCAGAAGTGATTCCCTCTGAGGCTCTGAAGGGTACCAAGGAGAACCAGACTTTGAGATTCTTTCCCTGCCACCTGCCTCCATGTATCTTTGTTGGGCCTGGTCACTGTCTATATTTTGTTCCTTCTGAGTCAGTGACTAAACTGATCCTATAGACACATAGGATTGGATTTCCTGGCTCAACAGTTCCCTTCCTAATTCCTTTTCTCCTAGCCTGCCAGACCTGTGCTCAGCACTCACAGTTCCCAGACAGAAGGGGCAAGATAATGAATCTAGATTACACCTGGATTTGAGACAAATTGCAGGTAAATACCCATTAAAATAAGTTAAATCAATTTATATTTTTCATATTTTGCCAAGGCCAAACCTCCAGGCACTGTTTTCTGAAAATAGTTGATGTACATTTTAACCCTTAGTAGAGGAATAGAGATTAGTTTTAATCCATTTATAAATTTCTGACATTTCCTGAAAAGTTACACTTTGCATTGCCTGGGATCACAGAAATAGGCACTTCAGAATACTTCTAATATATTTTTTCATTTGAAAAAAACCCAGAAAATTTAAATGAAAGCTTGTAATCAACTTACAACACATAGGTCCCTCAGCACAGGCAGCCAGGGCTTGTTGACAGGGCTGCCTGTGTTGGACATGGAAGCAGAGTAATAGTTTGATACCTGCTTCTGTCACTCACTCTCAGTGTGACCTCAGACAAGCCAATTCACCTAAGTCTCTATGACCTCATCTGCCATAGGGGAATAATTCTCCTCTCATAAGACTGTTACCAGGATCAAATGAGGTGTGTTAGTGTTTTGTGAAGTATCAAGTACTATGCTTATTCATACTTCTTCTTGTTCCAAAAAAGAATTTGGGGTGGCTCATAAAAATACATATGGTACAACAAAATAAATATAAGTGAGTTTATTAGGGCAAGGAAATGACTCTACAAATATAATGAACTACACATAGTTATAAATGATAGCAACAGAATATTAGACTTGGCCACCAGGTCTCAGTCTATCCAGCATCTGAGTATTTATAATGTATTATGCTTTAATGAGGTAATGTAACGAAATAACAAAGGAAACTGCAATTATAGTCTCTCTGCTCTCTTCTCTCTCTCTGCTTCTGAGATTTAAAAAGTCTAAATAATTTTCCTCATGCTTAGTAAGGCAAGAGTGAAAATGGGACATGTCAGATGCCTGGCTTTTGAGCCAGTATGCACGCATATGTGTGTACATATGTGTATACACATATGTACACACACACACACCTGTCTTAAGGAGGCAACTTGGGGTCCATCTTAGTTTTAAAATCCATTTTTTGCATATGTCCTCATTACTGGCAAAAAATAAAGGAAATGTCAGAAGATGAAGCTCTTCCATTTGAGTTTCAAAAGCATTTTCCCCCTTTATACAATGGGAAGGAAACAAATGAACAAAATACACGCTGTCCTATTCCATTTCAGATTTTCAGCTGTGTAATGCCCTTGCTTGCAGGATG